AATGTCTTTCCAATGTACAAGTCCGGGTAGACCTCGGTTTACACACAACAAAGCAGCCTGACATCATCTCCTGAGGTAGAGCGCCGTCCAGCCCTTCACTGAAAGACGGCATTCACACCAACCTAAATGAATTACTTCAATGGCAAAAAGACTGAAGGCTTTAGTTCAAACAATCAAACCAGCCTGGTGTGAACTCACCCAGGGAAAATCTATTTCAAACAATGGTCAAGCAACTGTTTACTGAGGCGATGTAACAAAAAAAAAATTATCTGGACTTATCTGGACACACCCTCCTCATTGGTCTTAGACCAAAGGGGTAAAAGAGAGACTGCCAGTGGAATGGGAGGTTTCCCTGCACTCGTATATATTTACCCCCAGGGAGTGAAGGGGGACAATGCTATAGCTCCTTTATTGCCTACATAGGATAACAACATCAGAAAGGTTCAGTTTCAACATTAGATTGATTTGTGTGTGTTTGTGTTTCCACCTGTAAAGGCTGCTATGTGTAGGTCACTGTTCTCTGGGTCCTTGGCTGGATCCTTTGTTTTTGAGAACTGTACATTGGAATAAAGGGGGAAAAGGTGAGGTCACAGGGAGGCTGTGAATGTGTTTAAAAGGCCGTCCGTGTATATCAACGTTCACAGTGATGAACATGATACTGTGGTTCAAGATCAACCGCCACCGCAAATAACACAGATAGAAACAAACGGACAATATGAACTTTGCTACCACTTGGCAAATACATCGCATGATTTCATGATATGTTATCATCAAAAAGAGCAACACACACGTTGACTCACTGTATATGCAGGGGTTGGGGGGTTAAATGCATGTGACACATATCTTGCTGTGTCTTATAGAGTCTTTTGTACAGATCTCCTATAGAGAACTCAAGTCAATTTTTAGAGACTTGCAAATGATCTCAAAATACTTGAGCACAGCTTGAGAAAACAGGAAACTTCTGTGGTGTGAAAGTGTTTGCCCTCTTCCCATTCTCCTTTTTTCTCCATGTTTGTCACAGACAGATTTAAATATCAGACAAGTAAACACGAATACAGTGAAAAAGAATGCAATCCTACATAATGAAAACTTTCATTTAAAACAGCATTTAGTGGTTCCACAGTATAACTGTGATCACGCCTGCTTACACATCTGCCTTACGTGCAGGAAGTCCTGGATTCGAGTGCCAGAGAAACCACATACTCGGCGTCTCCCAGGGGCGGTCTGTTGCAGCAGATCTGGTTTTAACACAACAAGTCCTCCAGTGTGGGATCAATAAGGTTTATTTTTTGTCTAATACTGACATTTGTTAAATAATTTCAAACACATGTTTCAAACTCGAGTCTCAGGGGAACAGGAAGACGGAAACACTTTTTCACACCACTGTGTATGTATTGAAACACAACAAAGCCAAAGGTGACATAGTTGCCAGGTTAGGTTATCCTCTAACGCTAACAGAGGAAGTGGACAGCAGACCATGTTCACCTGGAGTACACCCTGGACATGGAAGGACAGTAAACCGCTGGCCAAACATTTGAAGGTCAACAATAGGGCACCTCTAACGCTAACAGAGGAAGTGGACAATAGGGCGGCTATGGGCTATGATAGGGCGGTTATCCTGTGCACTGTGGGTGACAGTGCACAGGATGATACAGCTGTTCATCTGTGGATGTTGTTGTGTGCTATACATTCAGTGTGTTATGGACTTACAGAATAAGTACAAAATAGGACAGAAACATTCACAGGGTAGTCATCGACCAAATACAAGCATGTGGAGCAGGTGTGATTACTGACACTCCCTGTAGTGGTAGTGGAATAGAACCTCTACAGACAAGTTTGATACTTTTGTTTTACCTCGTGCTGACAACACAAACTCATGTCGTGAAAGGCATTTAGTGATAAATAATAGATATCACATATATCAACTGTATATGAACTGAATCAATAATAGACAGAACGTGAGGCGTGTCTGTCTCCCTTGTCTCCTGCTTGTGTCTGCTGTGTAATCAGTGTCATCACACTCACCTGTGTCCAGTCATCCTGTGTTCATCAGTCTCACTGGTGTCACCTGGTGCCCAGGGTTTCTGTACCTCCCTCTTACTCAGTTCTTGTTAGGTCGTTCTCCATTCTGGGTCAGTGTCGTGGTATGTACTCCTTGTATCTTATATTTTTGTTCAGGCTCATGCTGGTTCATGTGTGCTGCGTTCTTTTCCATGATCTCCCTGTGTGTTCCTTGTTTCTTCCTGGTTCTTGGATCATGAAGTAGATGAATTTAAGTTTGGACTTTGGTCAATACATTCTTTACACCTCATCATCGCTGTTTCTCGAGTGCTGCACTTTGCCTGCCTGCTATAGATATGTGTGCGTGTGTGTGTGTATGTATGGCTATGCGTGTTTATTTTTCACAGTTCTAATACATATACATATTGGTGCAAACTTTCATCAGTCTGTATATATGTGTATGTATGTGTATGTATATTTATGTATTTGTGTATATATGTATATAGCTATATTTGCAATCTATGTGAATATATTATGTACATAGCTGTATATGCAACAAATGTACAGTTAAATAAAAAAATAAAAAAACAATAAGTGATGAACAGTTTCTGCAGCAGATTCTAACTTTATTTCTTTCCTTCCACACTACAAAAATAAAACATTGCACTAGACAGCAATGAGAAAACCTTTACGTTGCTTAAAGAGAAGACAGTGTTCTTGGGTTTTTTTTTTTGTTTTTTTTTTTTTTTTTTTTTTTTTAAATCATTTATACCGATGAAGATTGTTCACTTCAGCTGACCGGCAGATGCATTAGTCAGGACCTCACCAACCAGGTGTTGTTCATATCCAACCAGAGGCCGAGTCAGGAACTCTTTCACCAAAGGTTTTCATTTGCACACCTCGGTAACTAAGATCAGAACCAAAGCGTCTGCCCGTCCGGCAACAACCCTGACACGGTCCACTGTTTTTACTGACCTTCCACACTCAACTCAATGGCATTAGGAAATATTTAAATACTGATCATTTAAAAAGTAATGAGGTGTAAGACATGAGCTGACATTTAAGTTGTTGAATCACATTGACTCTAGTGTTCCATACACTAGAGTCATACTATTTGTGGCTTCATTAGACCACTAGAATAAAGAGTTGTTCTAATGGAGATGAAATAAAATGTAATATTTTTTTATAAACTTGGGTTTTTTTTAATTGTATGAAAGTAAAGTATGAGTGATTGTCGCAGGGCGATATCGGCAGTAATTGTGGTTGTGGAATTTTGATCTAAGTGTTACTGATTACTAGTCAGTGATATTAGCACTGATGCTAAAAAGGTGCAGGTTGCTTTAGACAAATGTATTTTCCCTTTTTGGGTTGTTAGTTCTGTGTCATGGATTTATTTTACACATTTGTTAAAAAACTAGCTACATCACAATGATCGGAGAGATGAATAAAGAATAACTAGCTTCTCCTTTAAATTTAATTTGAAAGTAGTTCCTTCAAATTACTTGTCATGTCACCATGTTTGCACCAAAAAACCTGCTATTGCATAACAGTCTAAACCACTTCCTTACTACGACTACTGCTACATCTGCTACTTTTATGTTGTATTCATCTGTTCTTTTTCACTTTAACACACATTTAGTCAGTTGTAGGGATAGGGATGTCCGATATTAACTTTTTGTCGATATTGTCCAAACACTTAATTTCCGATTCCGATATCAATCGATACCAATATTGGCCTGATAATATTTTTTATTTATCTGTACAAACCACTGTATGAGTATAAGATGAATCAAATGAGCTACAATGCTGCCATCTAGTGACTTTAACTTTAATATACAGCTGTTTATCCCCAAAACTATTTTTAGGGCACACATCATCTGGCGAAACCCAGGCATTGCATTAGCTGGTTTTCATTACCGGAGGAATAATATCGGACATCCCTAGTTGTAAATGAACTTTGCGACACAGGACATCCCAGAATTAGAGCGCAGCTAACAGAGCAGATCAAATTTGTATATACAAATAAAGCTTGAATCCTTTGTTGGGCAATGAGTGCAAATGGATTTATCCTAATATTCACCCAAGGACTTTAGAAAACAATCAATAATGATTTATGGGTAGGAATCAGATAAAATGCCAATGTTCACAACCTGGAGAAAAATGAATTCCTTAACTGTAACCAACATGACATTAAATCAGATCAGCACAGGTCTTTCTATATACAAATGGAACAGAACGGTTTACAAATACACGCCAGCATTTCTCACATGTTAAGTCCATGATCACTCACACATCTGTCTGACTATTCCAACAATGATTATGATTGAATGTGACTTTTTGTCATTGTGGGACAAATAAAGGACGTCCTAATGTTAATGTCATAATACAGTGGTTTCCAACCTTTTTTGTCTTTCTCGCAGAAATGTCTATTTGCTGCATCTTATTTGAACTCAACATTTAATCATAAAGTCATCTAATTAATCATAATTTAACAATTATTAAGATGAAATTCAGGTGACCCCATGTGGTGTTGCGACCCCAAGGTTGAAAACCGCTGTCAGAACAACTGGGACATTTTTTACCTTTGACATCACTAAATCAAGGTGGTTTAAATGGGACTTTTCCAAACCTAACAGAATACATTTGTAATCACCCAACACAGTTCTTTTTCTAAAATAAAAATAAAATCCAACTTTTGTAAAATATGTCACTAATGAACAAAGCTGCCAAACTATGAAATGAATAAAACAGTAGCAAAAGGGTTTTTTCTAACAAACAAATGAATTTATAAAAAATGGGCCTGGTCATTGTAGCATAATACTCCCTGTCTGTCTGTGTGTGTATATATAGTGTGTGTGTATATATACATATATACACACACACACACACACAGTGGAAACTCAGTTGTCAAACGCCACACACACACACACACAGTGGAAACTTGGTTGTCAAACGCCTCCCTTTTAAAATAATCAGGTTCACAAACAAACTTTTTAACCAACAATTGCCCCGGTTGTCGTACCATAACTCGGCTGCCAAACAAGCCAACGATATCAGGCGGCAGCAGGTGATCCCTGAGTGTGTGTGTGGCGTCAGTCTTTCCTCAGCCTGAGTTTGGGACATACACGCTGAGAACTGTTGTCTGATTTTGGCGGTATTTCTTGCGCTGCTCCTTCAGGAATTCAGTTGGAAGACCGAGGTTCCACTGTATATTGAAAGTGAATGTAAAGAGAGCGTCTGATTGGTGCTTCCTGAGTGTTTTACTTGGCAGAGTGAGGCAGCCATTAGCAAGAGATGAATTGCAGTAATTCAGTACAGTTTTTGTGATCGGCCAATCACATGGCCAAACACCAAAGCCTGCACACGCCCTCACCTGATTGAAGCCTTAAACCGCTGCTCAGAAATAGCAGGGCTGTGTCAATATGCATGGTGCAAACACACACACTCAGCTGTGGTAAGAATGTGCGTGACAAAGGTAATAAAATAATCTAAAGGGTAAATTCACTCCTATGGGATGGAGTGGACTGTGGTGAGTTTGATTACTGAGATTACTGTCAATAAGACTGGAGCAAACACCAGGGAAGGTTCCAATGTTGACACCGTTCTGATTCTCCACACCAGATCAAACTTATATTTTACACCAAAGCCACCTTGAATCTTCTGTGCTTCACTGAACATTTGAGAACGTTTGATTTACGACTTATAAATGTTTTTTTATTTGAATAAGAATTGTTTAAAAATATCTCGCAGGTTAAGCGTGATGATTAAAAAAATATTTCTATAGAAAATAGAATTTTCCATATGAAAATCCACATAAACATAACAGGTATAAATATAAGCAACAGTGGATCTGTATCAACCAATATCAGCCATGTTTTTCACAAATTCATACAAACTTCATCTCAGAGTAAAAAAAAAATCTGGCCATGCTTTAAGGGACCGCCTCAAAATTGGGCGCCTTTACCTTTAAGAACATCAAGTCCTGCCTACCGTTTACCAAAGCTCTGCTCCAGCCACTGACGCACATCTTTCAGATTGTAAAAGAACGGCCCCTTGCCACCGAGGTACGCAATTTTTCTTTGCTGCACGATGCACACCCGTTCGTTAGACACACCGTACGCCACGTTAGCGTTGTTGTCCATGCAGTCTGCCACCAGCTGGCACTGTGGCGGCAGAGAGAAGTGCTCAGTGAGTTTGCGTGCCGCTCCCAGCCGCTCCTCCAGGTTCTGATGCTTCCTCACGTTGAAACAGGATGAGCCCATGGGAGGGGCCACCCAGCCGTCAGATGGGTGGGCCTCATCAATGTACACCAGCAGGAAGTCGGCCACGTCACTGAAGTCCTCCACCAACCGCCGGAAGGCAGGCAGGTGGCTGACAAAGGGGGGTCAAGTGGCTGAGCCGAAGTTGACCACCAGTGGACGGTCGGAAGTCTCAAAATCCAGAAGGTTGCACTCGTTTCTGGTCGTGGTACCAGCTGGAACACTGGTCACGTTAATGACGCCGCCGCCGCCGCTGCTGCTGCTGGGTCCTGGAACCTTCACCACCTTGGAGTTTGGTGCCTCACAGCCGAGTTTAACCTTAGGAGAGAAAAATACAGATTTGTGTACATTTGAACTCACAAGAATGCATATGTCGGTCTTTTAGTTCCCATGCAAAGTAGTTGGTGAGTTCTAACGCCGTACGACGGAATGATGGTACAAGACTTTCTTAATTGATTCATGGGAGAAGGCGATGTAACCACAAAACGCCATCGGTCAAGGACGTCGTAAACTGATGACCTTCGGTACTCCTACAAACTCATTAGCAAGGTTGAAAGAAGTCGGTTCCTTTATGAATTAAGTGGCGTTCCATTTTGGCGTGGACCTCATCGACTTAATCACTGGTTTTAACGACAGTAATACAGTAGACAGGTTCATATAAATGTTTGTTTGTTTGTCGCCGCATCCAGGAGCGAACTCTTTTGATAAACTTTTTGACTCGCGGGCGACAATTGTCCTAAAAGTGAACGGGGGGGGGGCCGGGTCAGGAGCAGATAGATGAGGTGTTTGTGTGAACTAAGGTAAATGACACGTAAAAGTCATGTTTAAAGGCTAAAATGCTAAAATGCTTTTATCATTTTCTACGCCATCTATTGGGGAAACGTGGGCATTGCAGGGGAAAGGCAGAAATATATAATGATAATATAAATTAATAATATCATTTGGACAAGTTTGGTTCCCCCCCCCCCCCCCAACTCCCACAACAACCGTAGCAGGACAAATTGGATGAAGTAAAATAAATGACTAACAAAGAACTGATCTGAATAGAAATGGATGAAGATAACGTTAACAACGTCACTGAGAGCCAATTCAAATAGAACCTAAGAGCATCCTCAGACAGCACAGGTCCTGCCAAGTCTGCTTGGTTTGAATATTTGGAGCAGGTCCCAAGTTTACCACTCCACCCCGCCCTCTCCCTCTCCTTCTCCCCCCAGGGCCTAACAACTATCTAACAAAATGGGTTTTTACTCTTTTTGTTGGTCTGGTCGTCAATTTGTGTTAATTATGTTCAAAGGACTAAATGCTAAATCCCAGCAGTGTGGACCATTTCAGTCTGGATAATCTGTTGTATGACCATGTGCTGGACGAACCCTGGCACACAGCCAACGCACCATATTATATTCTGTTTGCCCAGCGCCTGGGGCAGACTGATAAAGTCAAATACAACTGACGAGTTTGGAAACTTCCCAGAGCAGGTTTATGGTTCAAGGAAAAACAAGATGGTAGACACTAAAAACCAACACTTTCTACACCGATGTTGGTTTTTATTTGAACTTTATTGACCCCACACTGGGGAAACTATTGTGTTAACTGCAGATCTGCTGCAACAGGCTGCCCCTTGGTGGCGCCAACTATGTGGTTCCTTTAGGGCTCGAACCCAGGACCCTGTGTGTATAAGGCAAATGTGTTAGCCGGTGTGATAACTGCTGCAGGATGGAACCAGAAGATAAACGTTGTGATAATGCAGTAGAAGACGGTCACCCTCAGAGTCTGGAGAAGTGTAGTAGAATATACTTTAAAGTACACTGATGAAGTACAACATGCAAATTTAACACCAGCCGTTAGGTGGGGAAGTCGAAGGGAGGATTTGTCCTTCTTTATTTGCATATTAACGTGTGGGTGCAGGAACGTAGCCTTTCAAAAACAAAACTCACAGTCGAAGTGTATATATATATACACGTATAAACACTGTGTGTAAAACAGGATAGACCTGAGGCAGTCCAAGTATGACATCATAGAACAGAGCGTATTCCCAGTACACCCTAAAGGCAAACACTTGGAGATCAAACCGTTATAAAAATCAATCCCCATGACCGCACGTTGAATATAACGACATTAATACACTTGGCGTTTTTTTCCAAGTCCACAATTTGTGACTGAAAATAAACGAGCTGATGACAACGCTACGAACACCTTGAATGACGACGTTAAGTTTGTTTGTACGACAGACTGTTACACAGGGGGCGCCACTGACCTATATATACTTGATCAGCTACGATATGAGTTGGTGATATGTAAAATGATAATGTAAATTATTTATAGAGTAAATGGTACTTAAAGTTCAACGGTTTCCTGTGACACAACCGTCAGTAAAGGTCCACATTTAAAGCAGTGGGGAAACGATTCAAAGGCCGGGGGGGGGGAGGCGGTCCCAAACTGACCCTGGTCAACAGGTTATTGAAGAGATCAACCACAACATGTCAGTATCAGTATCCCACCTGTCTACCTACCTCGTGTTTGGCCTCAGTTCAGTTCAATTCAATCAACTTTATTCTATATCATATGTGTCAAACTTAAGGCCCGGGGGCCAACTGTGGCCCGCCAAGCC